ACCTGTCGCTTACTGATCGTTTGGAATTATAAATATGAGCGTAGTACATCTGTTAATATCACATGCACTTTTTTTTTTTTTATTTGTTACTCCGACGCAGGCAGTGCGCTGCAGGAGACAAAAAAGTAATATAGCCAAAACAACCGCAACCGCTCTTTAGTGTAGATGCATGTTGATTTTATCAGACGATGCTGCGATTATAAATGAGTGACTCCTGGTTAACGTATTAAAAGGGGTCGTGTTTACTCACTGTTTAGTGTGGTATTTTTTGACAATATTCACTCATCATGACAGTAAAATAGGGCATTCTAAGCCAATATACTGCAGTATTTCCTCTCTCAATCAGTAGAAAATATGGTTAACACCCGGTCATGCATGAAAAAACAAAAAATACCGTCATGTACCGTGAAACCGGTATAATTTTGAAAAATACCGTGACTAATTTTTGGTCATACCGCCCAGCACTAGTATTTGTTTGCATTCACTGTGGTGGTACAATTGAATCATGTTGCCTCAATCCAAAAATTTACTGAATATTAACTGCGAATAGTATAAATGATTTGTAGTATGATTTGTATAGATCACATTATAACACAATGCTGTCCTGTACCAGTCATGAATACTTTACATCTTTCCAAAGCATCCAAACAGGCAGAGAGTTTCAGGAGATTTCCCTTGAAATTCTGCCATTGACACAGAAAATATGCCAATGCTTAGCAACGCTCTATCATTTTAAATTCATTGGACAGTCATACACTTGTGCACAAAAGTAGATCAATTTCGTATTTGATAACTCAGCTGCTGACACAAATACAGTCAAATAAATCCTGTAATGCTTATGGGGGAAAAAACTGAAGGAAACGTTTATGCACAAATTCTCAATGGTTAGAATTACATTAGCAAGAGGAAAAAAATATTCCTTATTCACGGAGAAGAATAAATGAGGATCAATATGTAAAATAAGAAAGCACCAAAATATTCAATGTTCACAATTTACTGTATCATATGATAAGTCAGGGTTTAAATCATCTGCAAATCAAATGTAAGACTTTTTTTATAACTTAAGACCTGTACAAATAAAGTTTATACCATATGTTCACACAGAACAAGGACCCGCTGAGACACCGTAAATGACTTTTTAGTAAGTCAGTTTAGTTGCTCAGTTCACCAATATGCAACGTCCATATTGTAAACTTTTATTCAACACCTATTTTGTGTTAAGTTATCATTTGTTATAGCCTGAAAAATTAATGTTGGTGAATCCCTAAAAAACTGGCAATAACTAAGCAGCTACAATCCCAAAAGAAACAAGAAATCATAAAACTGGAACAGCTGGAGCAGCCAGAGAGAAATTCAGCATGTAATAAGTGATTTCTGAGCTGGTACTGAGCTCTCGTGAGACTGACGATTATTTCAAAAGCATGCCCCGACAGGACGGCCATTCTCAGGTAAGGATGTGAAATTCCTTTGTTTCTCCTTGATTGAGCATCAGCTGGGAATAAGCACTCATTTGCGGAGTGCAGGGAGGAGGGAAACATAGGTCTAAGATGGGGAGTGTAATTTTCTTGTTTAATGTACCATGTGCAAAAAATAAGATCTTACGTGTTCCTCTAGAATTGTAATTAAGGACACGATGGAAGGGCGGCAAATTATCTCCAGCATCAAAATAAGACAGCTGAATAACTTGGCCTTCTAATAACTTCTCTCGTTCATTTGGGTGACCCTCTCAAGAGTTATTGAGGGATGAAGAAAGAGAATGACATCAGCAAAAAAAGTAGAACATCAAAGAATTGCTACAAACACAAAAATATACTTCAGTAACTGTCTGGGGACAAAGACCTGTGGAAAACCAGGACAATGTGAGGGAGAACAAGCTAAAGTTTAAGAGTTACCTTGTCTGCATCAACTTTCCCTTTGACAAACTCTGACCTCCAGAACTGCAGGGCCTGTTCCAGAGTAAGACCAATGCCCTTGAGGAAGAGGCCATACTGCATGCGTCCACCGTGCCGAAGGTGGTGGTTCTCTCTCAGTGCCTTGTGGAGATGCCTCATACACAAAGGAAAGGACTTGCCCGAGAGCTGGGGAAGCGAAGAAAAGAGAAGAGTGATTATTGAAAATGGCTTGATTTATAAATTAGCCAATTTTGAGGTGCAGACAGCTATCAATTCCTTAAAAGACAACAAGCACAGAGTCCACTGTAAACACAAAACAACTGTGAAACAATCACAGCCAATCAAGAAATATTTGATTTTAAATTAAGACAACAAGCACAGAGTCCACTGTAAACACAAAACAACTGTGACACAATCACAGCCAATCAAGAAATATTTGATTTTAAATGTACAATTATGTGTGATTAGGACAAAAACTCTAATTTACATGGAATAGCTTTACCGCACCTGGTTAAAATGTGGTGAAATACTGATATGAGGATTCAAAACAGAGGCACCAAGTTAAAAAAGTCTTTGATTTAATGCAAAGGCTTTAATTACAAGCGATTTTCATGCATCCATTAATGTTAAAAAAAAAAGCAAAAAGTGAAGGACAAAAATTTGCATGTGCTGATGAGCCACTTAATTGGAACAGCAACCGGCCCTGAGATGAAATACACACACACACACACACACACAGAAAGCAGATCTTTCCACAGACAGCTTTCTTCCCTAGAAACATCTGTGCACATCCACACCAACCACCAAAGTAGGACATACTCAATGTCCTAGTAACTTGAGAATTCAGGAAAAGGACAACTTTACTATGCGCACAAGTCTTAAGTGCCAAATATAAAGCAAGTATGTGCTCCTGAGTAAATTTATTTACCAAATACATTTTTTAAATTCCCAATAAACATATATACTAGTGATGCGCAGATGAGCTCAAATGTCACCCGAATCCGCAGCTTCAAATAAATTATCCACCCACCAACCGCCCGCACCTGTATTTTTGTCTGATTTAGATAACCGCACCCGACCCGCACATTAGGGTTCGTACGGTCATGAAAAACCTGGAAAAGTCATTGAACAGCCATTTCCAGGCCTAGAAAGTTTTGTAAAAAAATTAATAAACTCAAAAAGTTTTTGAAAAGTCATGAAAATCTATTTCACAAGTCTCTGTATAATAGAATTGTTTAATCAGATCCTGAATTTCGGGATTGCGCATACATCGCATTACTCATTCCCGCAGCTTTCGACTTTAAAATGAGGGAAATTACTGCAAAACCTTTTTTCAATATAGCGTGTAGGTTAGATGAGTAAATAAATCCACACAAACCATCAGATGAAAACAGCGGTGATTCAGCTGTACCGCGTCTTCTCTCTTTGACTTTCGCTTCACATCGACGCATCTAGAGCTGCTGCATGCTGCGATAGAAGACTTTAGCTCGCGTTTCGGGACAGTTGACAGAATTGTCAATTGCCTAATCGGTCATTGTTGCATCGTCACAAAAATGTATTATTTTCACGTCTTTTTAAGCCATTCGGTACTCGCGCTCTCCAGAGGCGCGTGCGCTCACATTCACATCCAAAGCGCATACTGCGAGTACCAAATTGAGAAAGTACTGTTGGTTTTGTCTTAAGTTAACGTAAACAGTTGCAAAATAAAATGCATGGGTATCAGTATTGGATCCGTGAAATAGGTCTTGTGCCAGCAGCCTAATAAAGCTGTGCCGTCTTTTATTAATGTTAATCAAACAACAAAAGACAGAGAAAATCCCTTACTGCTCTTGACTAAATAATGTTTTGTTGAATAACTTTTAATGTTAATTTACAGTTTATTAAATTGTTGTAGCCTATTTAAAACGCGTTCATAATTTAGAAAATGTAGTTAATACTTGCATCATTAATTATTTATTTTATCCACCCGCAAATAATCAGAATGCATTTTTTTATTACCGACCCACCCGATCCGCGGATTATCCACAGCGCCCGCGGATATAACCGCCATCCGCGCATCACTAATATATATAATATATATAATACAGAGAATTAATGCAACTCTGTCAATAACTTTAGTTGTTACTTACTGCATCAATCTGCTCAAGAGAAATTTTTCCGATGTTCTTCTGAATGCTGTAGTCCTGACCCACATAGGCATGGCTACAACAAAAGAATAAGGGAACAAATGATAAGAGCCAATCACAGTGAAGAAGAAATCACAAGGTCAGAGTAGAGCACAGGCTAACAGGCATCTTATTCAAATGCATTCTTGTTTTCTGGAGGAGGAACAAAACACTGCAAGTGGAGCACATGCCTCTAAACAATACAGATTCTGCAAGATGAAGACCTGATAGCTTCTTAGCAATGCCACATTTTTAAAAAGTGGTTAAGTTGGAGGCAATATTAGAGACTGATGTAGGGTTTTTAGGCAAGCAAAAGTTTTAGCCCACTGAAGCAAATTTTATATAATTTGTTGCAAATTTTCCTCAAAGATGATCAAAGGTGCCCTAAGTATTCCTAACACATTTACCCTCTATTTGGGACCAAATGTAGGAACAAGACACAAATATTTATTTTGAATGATGTCGGCTGGATGAAATAAATTATATATAGCAGAAACTGTGCAAGAATATTGCAAAATATATTTTTGGAAATGGAGAAAGATTACCCTTTTTTTATGAACTTTCTATTCATCCAAAAATGTAAGTAATTATAATAAGATAGAATAAGTAATAATAAGAAATTATTCTTGAGCATCAAAGAAGCATAGTAGAATCATTTCTGAGGATCATGTGACACAGAAGACTGGAGTAAAGATGCTGAAATTGCTTTGCCATCACGGGAATAAATTACATTAAAACATTTTAAAATAGAACCGCTTTTTTAGTAACGGTAACAGACATGGTGAGATCATGATGACGGCAAATACTACACAACATCCGAAACAACAATTTCATGAGTAGCTCATACAAAAATGGGACCGGTGCAAAGAAGCAGATTCCTTCTGGTCCCACAAAACAGTGCCACATCCACTGAGGCCGTGTGTGAGGGTATGAATAATTAACAATTTCTAGGCCCTGCTTTTCCATTCCTCTACATTCCCTCACTGTTCAGCTGCACGCCGGCCCCTCACATGCTCTTATCTGGCTTGCCCAGTGCTAAGAAAAAGTAAAAGAGTCTACTAGCCAATCCTCTGCAGCCACAACTGTCGCCTCTAAAGACACATCCAATTAAAATGCTCTCATTCAGAGTCCATCAAAAAGTAAACGAATTGACAGCTGGGAATGCTGCCATTGTTCCCTTTACTGCGAGCAAGTGGAGGAACGCGGTCGTCCATGCATGCGGCATGGCCAATGACAGAGGACCAGCTTTAATCTACACTGGTATCCCCGCTGGGCTGCAGCCAAAATGCAAGACCAGGTTCACACGTGGAGGACCCTTAGTGCATCATAATGGGACTGTGCCGAGAGCATTAATGAAAGAGACTGAATGAAAGCGAGTGCAAGAGATAAAGGAAAGCAGTCGGAGTCACGTTGGGTCGGTACAAGGTCGGCTGGCCTTGAGTGGACTGTTTGAACTGTCCTCAGTTGGCCAAGAAAATGGCAAGCAACAATTAAGGATTATTGTTTGAAAGTTTTTCTACTCTATTTTTTTAAAGAAACAAAAAGAGAGAAGACCCATGTGGATATGTCTGAATAAAATTGCTGACTTTCACAAAGCTGCTGTAATAATCACAATGCAATAATAAAGAGTATATTTTAAAGTCGGAAGAGATATACATATTCCAATGGTGTCAATTACCTGAGGTGGCTCAAAAGAGGCTGGAGTCGTTCATCAGACTGTACCGCTGGCAGGGATCGTGCAGTCATCTAGAAGGGAATTTTTTTTTTTTTTAAATATGTTAAGGGTCAGAGGTTAAAGCAATTTTTACAGTGGTGCAGTAAAGATAAATTCAAAAGGTCAATAGCTGGAGCATGAACTATTAATTTATCCGAACAGCATAATGAATAATTTTCCTGGGGTAATAAAAGGTACCCAATGAGCTGGAAGTCTTTTAGATGGCCAAAAGATACATAACATATAAACATTATATGTTACAAACCAAATGATAAACACAAAAGAAAAAAATGTGTTTCGTAGTAGAAATTGTGTAAAAATAAAATCTCAGTTTTTTTTTTTCAGTAAATAATGTTTTTAAATATCTTCAGCACAAGATCATAAATCAACACTGGCACTAAAGTGGCAGGATATATGTTAACTGAAGCAAAACGGAGACAATGATGAAGAGACACGGAGGTCTGAGGATGATCAAGCTATCGAGACGCTGACAAACTGCAGCGTAGGCAGCAAACTTTACAGTCCAATGACCACTGACACACAACCTTTAAAACTAGATCGTCCACATCCAACTCCACAACACTGTTTCATTAAAACAAATGTATTAATTATCAATGATGACATTCATGGATTTAGAGGAATAAAAAGGACAAAAGCTCAGCAGTGCAGAAAAATTAGTAAGTCTTTTTAAGACTAAATTTATTTTTAGGTAAATAAATAAAAATAGGAGTGCCAAAACTTCCAGGGTTTTCAGAATGGTCATGTTGGTCAATCCATCTTAAGTGAGCCAAATTTTTAATTTTATTTATTTTGTAATTATCTCCATGTTCTGATATTGCAAAACGTCTCTAGGTTATGTATGTAACCATGGTTCCCCGAGGGGAACAAGACGTTGCGTCAGAAAAGCTTTGGGAACGCCTCTGCGTGACCATGTCCTGAAGCATGTGTGAAATCAGCTCAATGGAATGGCGAGATGTCACAAGCGAGGTGTCGTAGAAACCAGGAAGCTTAAAAGCGCATTCCCCTTCAGGGAACCCGCTGTAATGACTTGATTACTTAATTTTAGGGAATTAATTAATTAATTCAGGTTTTGAAAGGACTCGGATCTGAAAATTCGAAGTCCACCTGATTAAAACTGATTTCAAATTTGTTATTTTACACTTTAACAGCTACTCGGCCAGCGAGAAGTTAATGTCAGTATATTTTAACAAATTGACTGTATTTTCCTGGCCACGGGTAAATACGTTCTTTGATAATTTATAAGCTCTTAGAGAGGTAACAATGATCTTTGGCAAAGGTTTTGACTTTAAAATTTCACGACACCAGACAATTTTATTGGCTATTCTAGATTACATTAAAACTAAGCTAAAACACACATACAGCTCAGAAAATTGAAGGAATGAGTTAACGGAGTAGCATGTAGTTTCAAAGTTCTAACACTCGTTGTGGTTTTAAATTCACCTGAGAGAATTCACAAAGCAGAGGTTTGTCTTAAGTTTACTGCTTAACGCAATTCACCAGTTCAACACCGATTTCAGCAGATAGGAGCTTTGTTTGTTTACTTGCGTTCTGCTTTGGATGACAGCTGAAAAGCGGAGTTGTTCCTCGTTGCTGACAAAGGCGTCTCGAATGGCTGCTGAGGGAATCCCGGAGCTTTCGGATTGGTCGCTGAGATGACGTTTGGGTGACGTCCTTTTGGGGAGACCCTTGTCAGATGGGTTGGTTGCCGGGTTACGGAAGAGGCTTGAGCAGTCCTGCTTAAAGTCTGAGTTTGCAAGACTTGGCGTTCTGCAGAGTTACGAAGCTTCAACTGAAGTGTTTGAGTTCTGGAGTCTCGCGATGCGATGTTATGGCAGAGAAGCGCTTGTAGCGCTGTTACCAAAAGGAAAGCCAGAGGTCTTGAGCGAGAGAGCGAGCCAGAGCGTAAGACTTTGTGTCCAATTTTAAGCAGGCTGACTTTTGTCCAGACCACAGGTCGTGGTCCAATCAGATGGTGGCTGCGGGGTTTAGCCACACCCCATACTGTTCCTTATCATGCATGAATCACATGCTGTTTGTGGCGAGTATTTCTGCAAGTTTTTAAGAACTTCTTATAAAAATATCATCACCGGAAAATGATGCCGAATATCAACTTTTCACTAACACCAATGTTCTGTGAATAAAACAAGCTCTCACCCGATACTAAACTTCACATATCTTACACACATATTAAATGCTTTGTCTGCTAAAAAAAAAAAAAAAAAAGAGTTATTAGGCAAATATTAAAATATCATAGATTCCAATAAACACATCAAATATATATATACGGCATAACACATGCAGTGGATACATTTTCACTACTTATGAGTTTTTAAACGATTTGTCTTTTAAAATCGTCATGCAAGGTTCTGTTTTTTTTGTTGTAAGAGAAGTTTGTAAGGGTTCCAGATAAGGCAGGAAGCAGGTGGTCAAAAAGTCATGTGGCGTCACGCTGTATATCCCGTGCTGGCAGGCCCGAGGGCGTGATTAAATTACTGTCCTTTTCCTGTTTGGACATAATAGTTCCATCCATTGGTGGTCACAAGATATCGTGGTTTCTATATGTTGTGAACGAACCTTCCAGTTCTGATACAAAGAAAGCTTTGTTGTCTCCTGATTGAATTAGTTTCGATCTCATGAGTAGATGAGTTAACAAGACTGACAGGAAATTGACCCAGAATATTGGAGTCATGTGCTGGGTGATTAGCAAACCTCTTGATGGCTGATAGGGGCATAGCAGTGTCCGTTCATGTACTAGAAATCCCTACACCGCGTTGCGTCAGAAACACGTTGGGAACGGCAATACCCACTCTGCCATACTAAAAAATGCCTGTCTAGTACGAAATCATGGCTAGCACAGCTAAGACAGAAGCACCTGAGAGTCTGGAGTGGTACTCAAACCTAGATTGTCAAATCTAAAAAATGTGAGCGGAAAGGACCTGCCCACCACATCACACAAATCTTGCAGGGAAAACCCTGAGAAAAGGCTTTAGAAGCCGCCATACTTCTCCTGGCCTCAAGCTCCATAAAGGAAACATTACCAATGGGTTTATTCCCAGTGACTGACCACCCAAAGGGGCGTGGTAAGCAGCAATGGCCGCCACATACACCCTTCAGGAGGAGGGGGTAAACCCTGCAGAGACCCGTCCCTGCAGGAACTCCAGAACTGAACCAGCAGGGTAGTTAACTGGGACCAGTTGCTGATTTCTGCACCGTGAAGTGAACACAAGGAGTATAGTTTAGTGAACACAAGGAGTATAGTATGGAGGGAGCTCTGGAGTGGTGTATGGTCTCAACAACCTCAGTTGATGAGTTGGGCCCTCTCAGAGGTCAAACCAATATCCAGGCGGATATTGAACCAGGCGGGGATGAACTAGGGGTGTGCGATATTTACAAAAAATAATATCTCAATATTTCCTGGGATTTTATCGATAACGATAATTAGACGATATTTTGCTGAGTGTTATTGTGCTGATATCTTAAGGACTGCCGTGGACAGCTGACTCCTAAAGTTTTTAATATTCTTCATATTCTGTGTGGTGGTCAGTTCACACTGAGAGAAATTTAATCTTTTCCAATAAGTTTAAACTTATTTTTAAATTTTATGGGCATTTTTACCTTTATACAGCCATTTCTTCTAAAAGTGTCCATTATCTTTTGAGTGAAATTCTTACATTTAATCAGTGAATTAGAATAATAAGACATTTGGGCTGTTACCAAGCAAATGAAATCAACACAGAAGCTGAATCTGAAGTGGCATTTAGATGTATTTACACACTGTTTAATGCGAGACATGAATGCATTTAACCTGTAATTACAAATGCATAATGTTTTGATATATTAAACATAAAACGTTGAATACTGATATTTGAAATTATTTAAATAATAAAAGATACTTTGAATGTGAAATTAAAACTGCCAGCAAGTCACTGTTAATAAGTGAGTCATTGCGACTGAACCAAATTATTTAAACGGTTGATTCATTCAGGAACGAAACACCGTCATGTTGCTCAGAGACGCAAAACAGTGTTTGGAAATATTTTTGTTGTTGAAATAGAGCAAAAACAGGGTTAACTTCTTGTTTATTGAACTGTTGTAAAAAATCAATATCACATTTGTAATCACGGTAATATCTGGAGACAAACGGCACTCTTCGTGTGAAATTGATCATTAACTATATGAAATGGTCAAATATATAAATTTTCTGACATGTCTTGAATTTGTGGATCATTCTAAATGCATTTTAATAGACTGAATAAATCAACACAGAAGCTGCATCTGAAGTGGCATTTAGATGTATTTACACACTGTTTAATGCGAGACATGAATGCATTTAACCTGTAATTACAAATGCATAATGTTTTGATATATTAAACATAAAACGTTGAATACTGATATTTGAAATTATTTAAATAATAAAAGATACTTTGAATGTGAAATTAAAACTGCCAGCAAGTCACTGTTAATAAGTGAGTCATTGCGACTGAACCAAATTATTTAAACGGTTGATTCATTCAGGAACGAAACACCGTCATGTTGCTCAGAGACGCAAAACAGTGTTTGGAAATATTTTTGTTGTTGAAATAGAGCAAAAACAGGGTTAACTTCTCCCTGAGAAAAGGCTTTAGAAGCCGCCATACTTCTCCTGGCCTCAAGCTCCATAAAGGAAACATTACCAATGGGTTTATTCCCAGTGACTGACCACCCAAAGGGGCGTGGTAAGCAGCAATGGCCGCCACATACACCCTTCAGGAGGAGGGGGTAAACCCTGCAGAGACCCGTCCCTGCAGGAACTCCAGAACTGAACCAGCAGGGTAGTTAACTGGGACCAGTTGCTGATTTCTGCACCGTGAAGTGAACACAAGGAGTATAGTTTAGTGAACACAAGGAGTATAGTATGGAGGGAGCTCTGGAGTGGTGTATGGTCTCAACAACCTCAGTTGATGAGTTGGGCCCTCTCAGAGGTCAAACCAATATCCAGGCGGATATTGAACCAGGCGGGGATGAACTAGGGGTGTGCGATATTTACAAAAAATAA